ATCCCTACACAAAATTCAACAGTTGTTGCGTGTGTGTGTGTTGTTCTTTTTTCGTTTTTTTTGTTTATGTTTCTTTTTTTTTTGAGGCTGTTGTTGTGCGCGCTTCCCCATCGCCTCAGCCTCTCTCTCTCTGTGTTTCTGCGTAGGCAAAGGCAGAAGCAAAAGTAAAAAGTAAAAAAACAGGGCGCGATGACGGTGGCGAGAGCCCTCCGCCTCCGGCTCGCGGGCTGCCGCAGAGGACTGCCGCGGCGTGTCACAACACGCGCCTGGCGGAGCCAACTGCGGCGTCACTTCGTGCGAGACACGCCTCCGGTGGGCTGCCGCACCCCGCTCCCTCGGCGGGGGGTGGCAGCGGGCGGCACGAGGCGGCCGGCACACACGCGCCAAGGGAGGAGGCTCGCGGCAGAATAAAAAAAAGTCAGGCCACGTCCCCCCCCCCGCCCACGGCGCCGCGGGGCGGCAAACGCGCCGTCTACAAGCAGGGAGAAGGAAACTAAATAAATAAACAACAGAAAAAAGCAAGCAACTCAATGATGACGGAATAAGTACAAAACCAAGAGATAAAAATAAAAATAAAAACAAAAATGGGCATGTCGACTGTGGTCGCAAAGAAAACATGTAAAAGGGTGGGGTTAAGTCTGTTAGCTGGGGAGGGAAGGGGGAAAGGCAAAACAAACAAAAAAAGGCTCGGTGTCAGGGATTCTCTGCGTCTTGCGAAGAGTCACCGGAGACTGTGAAGACGCCCTTCCCCACCTCGTGCAGCCAGATGCGGCAGTGGTAGAAGGAGTGCAAGTATTGCGCGAGCTCCCGAAAGAGCACCCGCCTCCTGGTCTTGTAGTAGACGTAAATCTTCTTGCAGTCGGCCTGGAACTCGCAGTCAAGAAAGACCATGTGTTCCACACGGCAGTCCAAAAACCCGGCGGGGTTTATGCGGTGTTGCAAAAATTCAAGCAAGTCCTTCGCCAGCTCGCGGAGGGTGTGCGTGTAGTGCGTTGTCTCCTCCTCGGTGGCGTGGCGCAGAATAAAGGCGGCCGTCACCGCATCGTGGTCCGTGGGAAACCCACGCCGCGCCAGTTCGGCGCTCTCCAGCTGCTCAAACTCCTCCACGGAGAGCACCACCTGCACCGTGCCCATCTCAATCCCCATGTCGCCCTCCAGCAGCACCAACTCACCCACCGCATACTGCGTGCTGGCGGCGCACAGAGTGCGTCTGCATCGGTGGCCAACCAAGTACACGTATCGCACCTCATCTGCCCGCAACGGGCTGTCGCTGTCGCACCTTTTTCCTGCACGCGAAGGACGACGGTTGGCGTGCGCCGCCAGATCATTAAAGAGTGGTGGAAGGGAACGGAAAATGGAAAGCGTGGGAAGCAGTTCCTCAGACTTGGCCTCCTCGTCATGGCCCGTGTTTCCGGGCCGGGGGGGCCGTGACCGATGGTTTCGAAGCGGGGTTGAATTGTTTTGCGATCCCGCGTGCACACCCTCCTCCCCGGGCCCCGCAACATTCGTGGTGACAGCCTTCGAAGGGGACGCATTAGACGCATTGGCGTTTGATTCGGACGACGAGGGTGGTGGGAATGGACGAACGATAATACGACTTCCCGCCGCCGCGGGGCGCGGTCGCGCGGAGGGCAGCAGCGGTGCGGCGGCTGCACCCTGCTGAGCCTCCAGGCGCTCCCCACCGACGTCCTCCACGGCTGCCGACGCCACGGTAGCCGCGTAGGGCTCAGTGAACGGGTAGCGTGTGAGCGGCGTGGAGTCGTACGGGGGCGCGAAAGCAGAAGACGCGCCAGGGGAGCACGATGCACCCATGGCGGGGAAACACAAGAGCGTGCCAAGGGGTGTGGCGGTGGGGTGCAAGACACACATTGGATTCCATGCGGCATGGTTGTAGGCGCCCAACGGGAACCCACCGTCTGCCATGATGCCAAGGTTCTCCCGCTGCTCCTCCACATTCTCCTCGCACATTAACTCCCACGCCAAAAGATCCCTGCCTCTCACAACAGAGTTCAGCCCCTCTGATGTGGTGGGAGGCGCAGCGAGAACCCTTGCACTGTACGGGTCGTGCCGCCAGACAACGCCTGGGAAGTTGAGTGAGGCATGACATTTATTTCCATCCGCCAGTGTGGATTCTCTTTCTGCGCATTCCAGGGCCTCGTTGAGCTCCTGCAGCATACTGAAAGGCACCGTGTAGGCCTTTCCGTTAAAGGAGCGGAACGGTGCCATCTGGACCTCACTCCCGGAGCGCGCCCTCCGCGTTCTTGGCGCAGGTACGTGTGCGGGGCAACCAACCCTCGTGGGTCGCCCCTGCCCCCCCTGACTTGGCCTCTGCTCCTCTCCCTGATGACAGTGGCAGCGGCAGCAGCAGCGGTAGCTCTCCCCTACCCCCGCTTCGCCCCTCTGCTCCTTCCACGGCTTCGTCATGGACGCGGCGATGTATGTAGATATAACGGGCATGACTTCGTTGGGCTGCAGTCCACCGGTTCCCTTTGCGTTTGCTTGCGTCAGCGTGTGTACGTACAAATAGATGTGTGTGTGCGTGTGTCTTTCCTCTCTTCCACGTACGACGCACGGAACTATCTCCTTCCCTCTCCCTACGCGCTGTGCGCCTCTCCCTCCCAGTGCAGGTGCAGCTGCGTGCGCGGGCGACAAACGCACACGCGGGCGACACAAATGCCCAGACAGGAGGAGAATAGGAGGAAGAAGGCAGGGATCAAGCAAACACATACACACCGGGCACCTCGCCTCGCCTCGCCTCGCCTCTTCAAAATCACCGTCTCCGCGCCCTGCGCAGCCACGCCAACCGGCAGGCAAAGAAGTACTAACAATCACACAAGAAAGCAAGAGGGCAAAACAAACAAACGGAAGGAAGCAGAATACAAAAGGCCGCCTCGCTCCATCTTGTTCTCCTCCCTCCCCCTGCTGCCTCTTCCAGCGTGGCACGCACACGCACACGCACACGCACACGCACACGCACACGCACACGCACACGCACACGCACACGCACACGCACACCCCACTTCTCGCCTTCTTTTTTTTACTTTTTCTTTTTCCTTTTCCCTTTCTTTTTCTTTTTCTTCGCTGCCGTTTGTTCTCGCTGTCCTTGACGTATTGCCCCTTTTGTCGCCCACCTCTCCCTCCTTTTGCCAACCCCACTCCGCTGTGGCGGTCTCACGGCAAGAGGAACAAAAGCACAAAACAAAAAGAATAATAAACAACAAAAAGACGGATGCACCGTGGCTGTGGTCATTGGCGTGCTGGACAACAAGACACACACACACACACACACCCTCTCTCTCCCTTCTACTTGTCCAGCTGCGCAGGGGAGGGGGGGTCCTCCGCATCGTCATGAACCTCACGCGGCCGCTTACGCCCTCCCCCTTCCGCGCCGAAAATCAGCACGTACCGCTCGTACGGCGGTGCCTCTGCGTTCGGTGCCTTCACAAACAGGCTGCGGGTGCTGAGTCGGTTGTACATGGCATGTCGCCTGTTGGCGTTGGAAAGGCCGGCCGGCGTGGAACCCGCCTGCGCCGCACGCAGCTGAACCAGGTAGCTGCTGGTGCTGCTCTCCTCCGTGACAAGTGGCTCGAAGGTGTTCTCGCGCGAGGTGTGATAACTGACAGTCAACCCGTGACTGACCTGCCTGGCGCTCTTCTTGTCCGCCACCAAGAGGTTGGTGTTGTTCACCAGCGCGTGCGGCCCACTGATCCTAGACTCCTCGCTCACCACCGCTCCTGGGAGCACGACGTGGTGCAGCGCTGTCGCTAACTCGCCCAGGAACCCCATGCGCCCCGGACTCCCCGCCCCAATTTCCGCCGCCGCCTTTTCAAAGCCGGCCGGGTACAATGGCAGCACCTCCACTGGAAAGATGGGCACCGGTTGCCGATCCGTGCCGAGCTCCTTGGCCACTCGCTGCAGCGTTGCACCGGGCTGAAGGTCCGGCTGAAAGGCCCCCTGCTCAAAAGGATCCAACTCCTTCCCACCGATTTGCAGCTGCTCCTTGCGCTGCTCTGTCCCCCCGCTTAGGTTTGCGGTGTACGCCGTCAAAAGATGCACGTACTCCTGCAGCAGCGCCAGCCACAGCTGCGAGTGGGGCATCTGAAGTTCAATAACCGCGCGCCTCAGCTGTTCCATCACCTCGCCGCGTGCATCGTAGTTGGAGGAAAAACGACATAACTGGTGCCAGAAACCGCGTTGCTGCGCTTTATTCGTCCCCTCAAACAGGAGCTGCCATAGACGGCGTGTGAGGCTCATCGTCGCGGGGTCTTTGCAGTCTAGACCCAGCTTCTTTTGTGCCACGGACTCAAGCAGCTTCTCATAGTGGGTGTCTAAAGTGCGAGCAAAACGAAATGAGTTTCGAATGCCGTCTAGCCACTGCTGCGGTGACCCCGTCGCGGGGGGACCGTTGCTACGTGTGCTGGCCTGCGTCAACTCCTCGCCAGCATGTGGAGGCACACCACCAACGCCGTCCGAGGACGTCCATGCGCCTCCCATCGTTTGTGAGTCCTGTGAGGAGGACAAGTGAGGTTGGCCTCGCAGCGCCTCCGGGACAATGCGGGCGAGGCGCTCCAGGTGTCGCTGCTCCTGAGACACCAACCCCATGTCCGTGTACAAGGGACGCTGCAGGAGCGTCAATGAAGGCTTGTCGCGCTCCAGGACCAGATTGAGGTCGATGTCCGTGTCCAGCAGCTCGGCGTCGGCCCGCTCCAGGTACGGGTTCACCTCCTCCGGCCGCCACGTTAGCCGCTCCGTCAATCCCGCCACGGTTGCCTGCCGCTGCAGCTCCTCCACGCGCTGCTCGCACTCCACCGCAATGCCGCGTGCCTCCTCCACCACCTCCGGGCGGAGCAGGTAGTAGGCAAGCGGAATACGCGCCAGCACGCCCTCGGACATCGCGTCCAGCTCCGCCTGCATGACACCCAACGGCAATGGGTCGTTAAGCAGCTCCTTAAAGGCCTCCGGCAGGTACAACAACGGCGCCGCAGGCACCCGCGGAAACGGCACCTCCCACGAGAACTCAAAGTAATACTGCTGCTGGCAGCGACGAATAAACTCACCAGGCGTCATCATCGGATCAATCACAGGGACGCCGGCGATGGAGGCAGTGGAGGTGTGGCCCCCCGGCGTCATGTCGGGGTCCGCCCCATTCTGGGGCCAAGAGCCCCCGGCAAATGACGCCATGCCGTCGTCATCCATAGAAATGGGATTGTACGCCATTTTATTACGTCCTTAGTTTTCCCTCTCCTCCTCTTTATATATATATATATATATATATATCCCACGCCCACTCTCACTGAGTTTATTCGTTCGGGCTCGCACGCACGCGCAGTCTCCTTTTATCCACCACCGCCACCACCACCCGCCTCGTCGTTGCTCGTGTCGCCGCGAATCCGTGCTGTAACACGGTCGTCCCCCCGCACCCCGCCACACTCCTCGCGCTCCTCCCTCTCCCAACAGTGGCGGGTAGTGCACTCGCTAGGCCTAGTACCCCCTTCACAATCGCGGCGAAGCTACACACACAGAAACACGCAATAAAAAAAAGGATAAAACGTGTGCGGGGAGCAGTGTAAAGTGAAGCAGGGAGGGATAAATATACATATATATATATATATATATATATGCGTGCGGGCGTATACAGGCAGCGCCCACACTTACAAGTTGTTGGTCCTGCGGCACATGAACGAAAAAGACTGCTCCAACTCGTATTCCGCCACATTTGAGCCGTTGTTCACTTTCTTCCTTTTCTTCCCCTCCCCCCTTTTTTCTTTCGTGCTGGTTTGCTTGCTTTTGCCTCCGTCGCCTTCCCCCCTCCCTCTCAGCTATACATTAGAGTGGCCCCAGGCCACCTTGGCAGTTTTTAAGCAACAAAATCAGGCGAATAGGTCGAAAGAAACCAAAAACAGAGGAAAAAAAAATGACCTCCCCTTCGCCCATCCCCCTCCCTTTCCCTCCTCCTCGGCATCGAAGAAATACATAACGCGCCGAAGACAACAAACATCTTCTTCTGCCCTCATCGCTGCACTAGTAAAGTGTACATTGCCACACGCCGACACAAGGGAAAGAGAAGAGAGAAAAAGCGCAATTTAGGGAAGAATATTGGGGAAAAAAAAAGAAAGCAATATATCTATTTAACTTCAATAAAAAAAACGCGAGGTCGGCTTCGGAAGCATGCAAACAGGGGTGGCCCGTGGAAATGCCTCTATCCCTCCCTCTCTCTGATCACTTGCCATTGCTACGGCCGCCAATGCTTCTACTGCGCACCGCTGTGGCATTTCCAATGCTGCGACTACGAATGGGAGCGGAGGGCGCCAGCTTCATCTTCTTCACGTTCGGTTTCGACCTCTTCTTTTCAATCTCCTCTGGGCGGAAGCTTACCTCATCCAGGCGCTTCTGGAACAACCGGACGCACTCCGCCCGGGCCTGCTCGTCAGTCGCAAAACTCAACCACTCAATGCGTTCCGGCAGCATCACGGAGCCATTGTGGAAGGGGGCCTGCTGTACCGAAAAGGGATCCACGTTCTGCAGAAGGTACGTCAAAAGCTCCGGCATGGTGGCGCGAAGCGCCAGGAAGAGCGGTGTGACATGATTGTCGTCCTCAATTTGCGGATCATGGCCCATCTCAATGAACCGCATGGCGTAATCCTGACGGTTGTACAGTATGGCGTAATGCAGGTGCGTCCTGCCCTCTTTGTCCTGGTAGTCGAGCCGAAGTTGTTGCGGTTTCACGCCTGACAGCATGGCCTCCATGGCGGCATCGTTTCCAAACTCTATCGCATACATCACACTCGTCACGCTTTCCTTATTCTTTGCTGTAGGCGACGCGCCCAGTTTAATAAGCAGCTTCAGCATTGGCAAGTATTCCTCGCCCAACGCCACGCACCAGTGCAGCGCGGTCTGGCCCTCTGTTGGCTTATGGTGCTCCCCAATGTCCTCCACCGCGAAATCGTCGCATTCGTTTAACATCATCTCCGCATTCCGGCCGCGCTCCTTCGCCCCTGCAACGAGCGCCTCCACAAGCTCCTCCTTATTCGCAAGGACGGCGAGGTGCAGCGGCCTCTGCCCATGCCACGCGCCATGCACATCACAGATTGAGGCGAGGTAGGTTGCGGTCTCCACCTGGCCGAACTTGCAGGCCAAGTGCAGCGCGGTGCAGCCAAACCTGTTGGGGATCGCCGGATCAATGCCCAGCTCCACCAGCCGCTTCACCTCCTCGGTCTGCCCCTTCCGCGCCCCACAGTGGATCTTCTCCATGTTCTCATCGTCTACTTTGAGTCTCGGAAGCTTTGGAAAGGAAGTCATCCGCGGCACACAATACACGAGAAAAAACCCTCAAAAATTGGCTCGCGACAAATATACACACACCTTTTATGCCGGTCTTGCGTCCCAAACTCCCACAGTTGCTTCAAAAATCCAGCAGGGAGGAAAGCAACAAAAAGACAGAGGGCAGGAAGAAAAAAGAAGCCGAGAAGAGCAAAGCGTTCACACCGTGCCGGGAAGCCAGAGGAGAGCGACAGGTGGGGAGGGGCACGTCACGAACAACAACAACGGCCAGGAGGGGCATACACACAAAAGCCAAAAAGAATCACTTTATCAGTTAAAGTACCAAATCAAAAATAAAATAAAAAAGCACCGGTCAGTACAGCTCTCTGTCGCTCAGTATTTACTTCTTCTTGGCGCCGCTGGCGAGGGCCTTCTTGGCCTTCGCAATACGCAAGGCCTTAGCCTTGCGGCGGGCGTCGCGGTTCTTGGTGTTGCGCAGCCCCTTCGCCATGGCGGTTCCTTCTTCTGGAACGGGTTCAGGCGCAGGCGCAGGCGGCGGTTGCGGATGCCGTTCGAGGGCTTGGTGAAGCGGCTCGCCTTCTTCGGCTGGAGCTTCTTCGGCTTCAGCACCCGACGCACCTCCTCGGACTGCATGATGCGCGTGACGTCGGTGTTC